CACACACACACACACACACACACACACACACACACACACACACACACGTGTTCTATGTGCAGGTATGTATGTGTGTGTGTGTGTGTGTGTGTGAGGGTGGGGCTAGAGCTACTTCATCAATAATCAACAATGCTGCAGGAGATTTCGCTCCTCCAAATCTGTGACGCAGGTGTGTGAGAGAGAATTTAACCTTTAATCAATCAAACCTGCGTGTGTCAATGAGAAGCGTGAGCACCAGACTGTGTGTGTCTGTGTGTGTGTGTGTGTGCGCATCCACACGGAAGGGTGAGGAGCTCCACCATGTGGCCAGAGGTGTGTACCGCAAAGACATCATGGAGACGACGCAGCATCCGCCCGCCCACACACACACACACACACACCTCTTTCCTTTTTACGTCATCACAGCAACTTTATGTCAAAAACGAGCAACAAAAAGTCAACGCCCCCCCCAAACCCTACTGTCTCTATCTTCCTCTACCTCACCCGTGTGCACTCTCCCCCCCCTCCCTCCCCCTCCTGTCTGTCTCCCTCTCTGTGAGTCAGAAGGCTCTCTCTCTCTGCCATCTGCTGCAAATCACCTCCGTGTACGTGCATGTGCAAAAAAAACATAAATAAATAAAATAGAGCACAGAAGGTGCTGATATTCCTGCATCTGCTGTGTCTTCACTATGTTCTTACATTTTAATGAGCTTTTAAACGAAAGATTATGACATCCATCCTCGCTCCTCGAGTGCTGCACCAGACGTTAACAACACATCTTTGATCTGGCAACGCTTATTATTATTTTAAATACTGTGCATGGGACCTACATTTCCCAGAATGCCTCAGCAACCCATTGAGAGACTCGAGCCGGGAGATAAGTAGGATTTAACAGAAAATCCAACCTTTATTTTGTGAAAGATATTTTTGAAAACATGGCTTAAATGACGCTGGACAAGAAAAATCCTCCACATAGAAGGGATTTAGTTCACATGATGCTTCTACAGTCCTACAGAGAAACTGAGCAGCATCTTTATCCACCTGCTGCCTTCATGCTCTGCCAACAAGCTTCTTTAAAAACTTTATTTTTTTATTTTTCAGCCATTTGGCAACGGACCTGCTGCAATTAGTCGACCGTGTCTGGTATCATTACTTAAGTTACCTCGTGTTTCGAGGCCATCAAGCCTCGGCGAACATCTGCGATAAGCAGCTCCAGACCTGAGCTGAGCCCTCTCTTTGTAAAATAAATAGCTCACATGCCTTTACAAAATAAACTTCCACCTTTATAGAACGTTAGGTTTAGGAAACAAAAACACTCGGTTAGGTTTGTCGCATCTCTGACGACACTAACGAGTCACGTGACAAAATGTCAATCTTTAGTTTTGCGTGGGACACAAACAGCGGTCTGCTATACTAAAGTCCAGTGTTTGCAAAAAATAAAATAAACAGTACAAAACAAAAAGTATCAAACGGATGATTATGACAAAAATTTTAAAAAAGTTTTTAAAAGTATGCTGTTCAAGAAGAAAATTCTGATTAAAATATAGTTGATGTCACTCCTGCTCGGAACTCATCAGAATAATATTGCAACAAAAAAATACTTTTACTAGGTTAGATTTTTAACTATGATACAAGTATCATTAGTCTCACTTGAGCAATTCCTGGCCGTATGCTATCGCTGCAGCTAGATGCTGATTAAATCTTTTAAATTGTAGGTATCCCAGTTGTCCCAAATTTTGTTGCCAGTCTGGTTGCACACTGTGTGGCTGCAACTTGGCAACTAATACACCTATCCAAGGTAAGTAGCATGACGAGGAGTTCCCCATGGCTCAATGCTTGGGCCTCTTTTATTTTGCCTTTACATGCTTCTTTTAAGCCAAATTATAACTACTACAATCAACATTATGCAGATGACACGTTGCTCTGTCATCAAGAGTTAACTTATCTTTTAAAAAAACAAAATCCAGTCAGATATCTTGGAGTGATGGCGGACTCGGATCTAAATCGAGCCGGACTTTCAGACTTACCTCTCTGTGATCTTGAGTGTCCCCGCATAAAGGTGGGAGTGTGCTCACATGCAGCAAATGTCGACCTCTGCAGCAGTCTCTGTGGCTCAAGCTTTCACTTCTGGAAACGGCAAATTGAGATAATGCTTTAAGCAACATGTTGTCCACCATCTCGTCCATGGGTGCAAATGTCTTGCTGGACCTACTTACACTACAAAATAAGTCCTTGAGGGTAGGTGTACAGGTCTTGGCAGAGGGTCACTTCAGCAGGTGGATCCACTGACTGGATGCATGTCTCTTTTTAAACACAATTGTCCTCAGCACAGCAGTCTTGTATCTGCAGGAGTCACTGCAACAAAAGGTAAGTATCTATCTAAAACACCGCTAAAGAGTTTAAAGGTGGATTATTAATTTGAATATCTCTTAAGAAGGAAATAAGATTATTAGGTACGGGACTGTACTGGGGATTGGACAAAAAAAGTGTTGATAAATGTTCAAATGTAAAAATATATTTATAACTTGTGTACTTTGCTCAAGGGTCTGCAGTAATGCAGTGTCATTTATTCACTGACATGATCGTATAATTATTCACCGTCTCTCAAACACCGGATCCAGTCTGTGAGATTGAAATGATTTAGCTAACAGTGACTCATGTCACTGCTACTGCAATTAACTGGCTTTATGTTTGTGACGCCATTCATCTCTGCACAGGAAAAAGAGAATCAAGCATCTGGACTTGAATATGTGTGAGTCATCTCGGGAGGATTGGTTGCATCTCTTACGACATCAGATAAATCAAAGTGCATCTAAAGCTCATCTGAAGTCTTTGGTTCCAAACTTAGACTCCAGGCTAAAATTAGACCCCGGCAGGAAAGACGGATGCGAGGAAGATGCAGAACTCCATCACCTGAAACTGTTATTTGTGCTTTTCTTCTGACTGATACACTTTGGGCAGCAGATATTTTCTCACTATTATGTGGTGTTTTGGTTTTGTATTTTCCACTGACCTCCCTCTCTGCTGTGCCACCATCTGTGGCCCAAAATATGACTCCTCACTCCCTAAACAGCACCCATCGGTTCCTCCTCCGGCCTGCCAAGGCCCGCTACGGCGACAGAAGTGGAGCGATGGACTGCCGCATTTACGTCATCGTTCATGAGAGGACTGAAACTGCTGAATACACGTTAGTCGTTTATATTCCAAGAAAATCTACAGACACGCATCACCTAACAGCATTAAGTGGAGATGATATAGAAGAGAAGAAGTGAGGCCTTTAATAGGAAATGATCACATACGTGTTAGGTTAATTGTACAATAATACAACCAGATGAGCTCATAGAGCTTTTGGGGGGTGACGTCACATATGATACATTTAAAAATATGGATTAATATGAAGTACGGCATCACAATATATCAACTCAAATGAATCAATCACAAATATGTCCGACTTCGTCAACACAATGTCAGTGAGAAAGGTATGTCATTAAAACAAAAGACAGTAGATCACTTTTGTTCACCATTTATTGTCTATAGTTACATGCATACTCGCTTACAGTTTGTTTTAGTGTGCAACACAGTTTTATTTTTGTTCCATTGTCTATGTTATATTACCCCAAAATGTATTTTTACTTCACAGGCTGCCTCGCCAAAAGTCTATACAACATGATTCATTTCTCACATTTTCAACACGTAATGAAGTTTTCTCACAAGCCAGTAGCCACAGAAACACGAGGTTGATTTGAAATATCGGCTTCTTGAGCCTCCGCTCAGAGACACGAGACTTTGATGTACTTTGTCTCCCAGATTTGGTAGTTGAGAATGATTGGTAATCAGTGTTTTACCAGCATCTTCTTATTCTAGGACTCACGGAGACTCGTGTATCTAGGTCTCTTAGATATTTGTGTTCCTTGGTGAATCTGTCCTGTGTCTAAGTGCTTTTTTGCTTCAATAAAGTCCATAAATGCGATACCAACCATCCCTCCATCGTCCGGTCTGTTTTCCAGTTGTAAATGTGTGTTCTTCAACAGAGTGAGCCGTCTCCTCATTGTGTGGTTTTTATATACAACAAAATAACTACTTTGGAGCCACATCTCTTTCAAAATCGTAATGTTTTCTGTCATAAACCGATACGCTCGTTCGTTTTGGTGATTTAAAGATCAAAAGTTAAAAATAGGCCAAACTTGGTTGGAAAATGTGATGCTCTTACAGACATCATGGTTACATAACACCTGCTTTAACAGCATTTCTTTATGTGAAGCAGGCTACACATTCAAATGTAGTCTAATTGCTGTTTTTATTAAGTGCTAAATATTCAATTAAAGCAATTTTAAAATCGTCTAAGATCGTCTTCACAAGGAGATTAACATAAAAGGATAAATACTCTATGTATCGGTGAATGTCTTTCACGTAAAAAAAAAAAGAGGTGGTGCTACCAAATATAGGAGCACTACACTTCCCAGAATGCTTTACTGCCAATTTGTGGCACCGACAGTTGTAAACGTTCCAAACGTGTCCCAGTTTATTTCCTGTTGCAGCGCATGTGAGCGGCATCATAACAGGAAATGAATATATATATATATATATATATCTATATATTTAGTATTAAGAGAGGCAAAATCTAGCATTGAATGCTGCTTGAATCCTGCTTTTTACGGGATATTGAGACGGTGCTTTGGCTCGAGATTTGAACTATCCTTTAACTGGCGTCTCTGACTTTATCTGGTACCTCGATCCTGGCTTTGAGTAGAAAACCCTAAAAATAAACCAAAGTCAACAACTCACCGCAGCACAATTTAAAAAAAAGAAAAAAACCCACATTATAAAAACACTACAGTCCAACCAGCTCATAGCGAGGATTAGCCAAACCTATACTGAAAAGAGAGAGAGAATATACTGGAGATTACTGTTGCAGGTCTCTTACACATATGCATTTATAGTCCGCGGGGCTGCGTTCACAAAGCCTCCAACGGACAGCGGTAGGATGACAAGCTTGTGTGATTGCAGCTCCGGTGTGTGTTTAAGAGCTGAAGCATTTATTTAAGACCAATACCACACGGCACACAGTCAATGAAATGTCAGGCTTCATGTCATGAACGACTACAAAAAGAGCAAAAATAAAAATGATGATTCAACAAAGCTAGTGGCGCTTGTTTTCCCAAACCAGCGTAAACATGGGCGGGTGGCGTCTTTCGTCACAGTTTCATCTATTGCACAACACTGCTCGTCACAAAGTGAGAGAGTTTAAGGACTGCACTGACTTTCTGGGAGTTTGGCCCTCTGACTTCTGTGGATTCTTTCACCTGGTGCTTGTCCAGTCGTTATGAACTTCAGCACATTTTCACAGAGCAGTTTGTATTCAATTCCTGTTTAAGCTACAACTCAAGCAAGAGGCCCGCTTACAAAACGTTAAGTAGCTCCAAAGTTTTTATTCCTGATTTAAAGTATCGTTTAACGATACACCCTGCAGAACATTACGATCACGCTAGGGAATTATGCTAAGCTATATGCTAATCAACCATCAGCACTGCACACGAGCCCGAAGTTCACAACACAGAGATGATTTTGATGCTGAATCTATTGTCTCACTTTGGTTACTAAAATGACCAAACTCCCAAAATGACAGTGTAGGCTCTTAAGCGGAGTGCACATGTTTCGTAAACAGGCACGGCCCGACGGAGTCATCCTTTATATTTTGTATTCCCTGATTGTTCTTATAAATTCTTTCTCAAACATTTGGCAGATAAGTTAAGATTGCAGTATAATGAGTTGTTCTTGTGCTATACCATGTGCTTTGTAAACACATTACCCCCCCGTACTCACTGGGGGTCCACCTGACTACAGTTGTTACAGGCTCTCCACATGTAGCGTTGCTAATAATTAGCAAATATGAAGGAAGGGAGAGGTTTTGTTTTTCACAGCCGAGTGTTAAGTGGTTAAAGATGAGCGGGCGGGGGCTGAAATGGTGCGAGTGAGTCGCCAACCTGTTGCTGTTGAAGCGCTCGATGTTCACAGAGGCTTCGTTAATGTATGAATTTTACTGATTATTCTTTCTGTGAAATTGTTAATGCTAAACATTAATCCGAACCCCTTCATTTCCATCTCAATGTTTCCACCTCTGTCAAACACCCACCCACCCTCGTCTCACTCTTTAGACTAAACGCTTAGTCGGACCACTCGTTCTCGTCGAGCTCGGAGTCGTCGTCGGACTCGCTGTATTCCACGGCGATGCGGCGCGACAGGATGGTGGCCACGTCGTTGCCGACGGGCTCCCTCTTCGCCTCCTGCTCCCTCTGCTCCTGCACCTTCCTCAGCTGGATGCCTGGAGGGGAGGGAGGAAGGGAGTGGGGAGGATGGAGGACGTGAGTGAGCAGGGGGGATGTGACTAGAAGTTCCGGGGGTCCCTGGTAACAGCTCAACAACAGCAGTCAGGTATCATGTGTCATCAGAGGCCGGTTTACATTTAAGGACCGTCATGTGACTGAGAAATCGCCATAACAACTACTATACAAAACAACAACTGTTAATGAAATAGCCATTATTTCTCTTTCAGCTTTTGTGCCGGTGTTTTATTTTGATGAAAGCCTTACAAGAGCAGTCGGTTACTCATGCTCAGACTTTGTTATTATTTTAATACTGTATTATTTGATTTAAGGGGAAGGTACACTCACCTTAAGTCACCAATGCAAAATCCCAAATTCTCAAACTTTGGGTGTTTAAGGTGTGAAGGAGTATACTTATTTGTATACTTACCTTAGTTTGAATGTGGTATAATCTAATATAACTTTGATCACCTAATTTCTGTTGTCCTACTTTTACTAGGAAGGTGGTTGGCTAAGTGTTTTCTAAATCAAAGTATTTAATATAAATAGTATTAAATATAAACTTAATCAAACATACACACGTACCTCTACGTATGGCTGCCAGCAGGTCGGAGCGTGCGTCGCTTATCGGGATCATCCCCGGCATGGTGGACTTCCTGGCCGAGGGCGCCCCGTCCACGGCATGCGTCGGCGACGGGTGAGCCAGGTAGCCCGTGGGGGCTCCGGGTGGCGGCGGGGGAGGGGCGGCCGGGGGCGCGCCCGACGGAGGGTGGGAGGGGGAGGGCACGTAGTTGGCCGGGGGAGGAGGAGGGGAGGGGGAGTAGGGACGGGAGAGGGTGGAGGAGGTGGGGGGGACGGCAGAGGCGGCGGCGGCAGAGGGCGGGGCGGTAGTAGAGTCGAAGGCGGTCTGCGCCGAGGGGATGGTCGGGGGAGGGGGAGGAGGAGGGGCGGGTGGGATGTAGTACTCTGGGATGGTGGAGGGCTGGCCGCTGGTGGGGGAGGAGGACAGAAGAAAGTGTGTGAGATTAATAAAGTTTATTCAATGGAAACGGTTAGCTCCTATGCAGATTGTTTAAATAGTAGAAAATACACACCATCAAATACATGAACAGAAAGACATTCACATTAAAAGTCAGTAAAACCTCATCTAGATGAGAAAACCTACCCGTGCCCGGCCCGGTATTCCTTAACCGACTGTTGCCTCGGCCCGTTGACCGTGGGATCTCCACCAGCCTGGACCCCGTGTCCCGACGGGGTCCGGCCCAGGGAGGCCGCGTGTCGCCCTGCCGGCGCCGGCCCTCCGGGTCCCGGGGGCTGGTTGGGCGGCCTGAGGACCCGATCCAGGGACTGAGTCTGGGGCGCAGCGGTGAGGTGGTCCCTGGAGTGGTCGGCGGGGTGGACGGCGCTGGGGGCCTGGGTGGAGGGGTGGTTGGGGCTGGCGGGGTAAGAGTCGGACGCCATTGACCTGTTGGAGGGAACGGGAGCGGGCGGTCGGTCGAAGTTCAACACATTTTAAAACATCTCTCTCTCTCTGATTACAGCCCTTTTCTTTAATCTATATTCTGCACATCTGGTGTTTGAATTCTCTGCTGCAGTGATCCAAAGTTTGATCTCGTCTTTTCTTGACATGAAATATAAATTCACGTGCTGTGATTTACCTTCACCAGAAGAGGGCAGCAAGGACCTTTAAACAATACAGCAGGTGGGTTGGTGCTGCTTCAATCTATATCACAGGTCTGTGCTTAGAATGTGAGACTTTGAGTGGTTGTGTTACAATACCTGCACACTATATACTATTTATAACATCTCAATACTATTTATAGTTTTTTAAGGCTGTGGAAAAATGAGAAAGTCAGTTTGGCCAGTTGTTTTTTTAATCGTCCCAATGCAGGAAACCTAACCTGACCGATGTGCGTTTGTCCCCTTGTGTGTGCATGTACTCCCAGTCAACCAGCTTCTGTGTGTGTGTGTGTGTTTGTTTACCTGCTATCAGGGGACAGTGAGCCTTCTGAGGACATGCCATGGTAAGGTGAGGGCGTGAGCCTGGCGTCTGGTCTGAACTCTTTGTCGTAGGCCAGGACGTTCCACTCCTGACGCCGATTACGAGCCTTACGCACCTTCAGAGGTAAAAATAAATAAATATTTACAATTTATGTCGCTTACCTTATGAATAATGTAAGCAGTGGGGGGACCCCCTCCCCCGAGTTGAGGGGAAACTCGGGGGAGGGGGTCAATGGAAAATTTGTATCCTCAAAGGTCAACAATGTCAAGACAGTTTGCTACTGGTCAGCAACGCAAAACAATTATATTGATGATTTCACGCTACTTTGCGGTCTTTCATTCTTTGCCAACTTCATGCTAGTTTCAGAAGGAAGTCAACAAAAGATAATGACACGCTGGCATGAATCCTCACTGACCTTCTTCACCTCTCTGCCCGGGTCCTCAACCTGCTTCTGCTGCTCCTACAAAGAGAGACGGAGGCGGACGGGTAGAAAGAAGAGCGGAGAGAGAGTTAGTCGTTGATTATTGATTGTACTGATGGCAGAGGAAGAGAACAGGACCCCGTCACCAGCTCCTTCACCACGGGGTAAACTCACACACACACACTAGTCTACCCATCACACACACACACACACACACACACTAGTAAACACACTAGCAGGCGATGGACAACACAGCCAAAACTCTGGTAACACAAAACAGGAACCAATCACAGAGGGTTAGAGAGACGGTGAGGTGGCAACACACAGACACAAACGGAAGGGAAGGTGTGTGTGTGTTTTAATAAAAACGTGTTTCTCTGTGTGCGTCTCACATCCTCTACAATGTGTGTGTGTGTGTGTGTGTGTGTGTGATGTGTGTGAGTGGAGTGTGGAGGGGTGAAGTGGGGGAGGTGGGGGAAGCAGGAAAAGGCAAGTTAGGGGTCTGGGTTGTCTTACGGAGATGGACAGGGGGCTCCTGGGTGGGGCCTGTCTGGAGTGGGGCCTGTCGGGGTGGGCCGGACAGCCCTATGGAAACATGGGAGAAAGACAAGCTGGTGCGTTAGACTGAGCAGAGGAGGAGGAAGGGTGGGCGTGGGTCTTAGAAGACCAGGTGACTCTAAAGATACATTAGAGAAAGGAAGGAGGAAGAGAGAGGGAGAGAGAGAGGGATTTTAATCCATTATTATACGGTTTATTTGGGTAAATAATATTAAACGAGACATGTAGAATAAAATGTTCTTTTGCTCCGTGTTCAAAGACGATAATGACGTTACAAACGGTGTTGTTTTGGCGATTGTTTAAAGAAAACATGCTTTTTAATCCTGCCCGGCGAGTTTTGGGGTTGAGAGGGTTAAAACGCTAAACAAGTCATATGTATTATTATTACCTTGTATCCTTGAATACAGTGAGCAATATCAATAACTCAAACTGGACAAAATAAACGAGATTCCTTATCGTTTCTGGCAAATGTTACTTGAATTAGAAAACATTCATGAATTAGGTTTAAATTACAAAAATGTTAAACAAAAAGTTGTTTTTGCCATATATGGATATACGTGTGTACAGTATAATCTCAACATTTTCAGATACATCTCTTATTTGGTCGAACGGTATATGTGTAAGTCGGCATGAAGCAGCCAAATGGAATTCAGCCATCAATAATTGCATTATTTACACTTTAAGCTTTTTCCTTCTGTGACATAGACAAAAACCTGAACTGTAACATCATAAAGGAGCTACATCTTTGCACAAATATGTGAATATGGCGTTACAGAACTGTCATTTATTATCTCTGTATAACGAGTCTGTCCACCTGCTGCTGATTTAATAACCAAAGACACGACAAAGCAAAACCTCAACGGTGAGCACAGTAAGATAGGAACGCATAAAAATAAATAACAGCATTAAAAAAAGGACACGATTATGCAGAAAAATAAAATACAGATTAAAGCACAAGATGAATTTCATTTACTTTTCAGTCTCTCACTCACACTCGCGCACACACACACACACACACACACACACCTTCTGCCGTCGCTTCTCCTTGCGCTTGTCCTCGGTGGCCTGCAGCATCTTCTCCTTCCACAGATTGAAGAAGTAGGACGGGTCGGTGTAGAACTTCAGCGCGTCCTTCTTGTCGTCTCTGCGTAGAGGAATGAGGAACAGTGGGTGAAGAACAGATGTTTGGGATTGATGGGGCGGGGGTTGTCAGTCGGGTGAAAGATTGAAAGAAAATGTGTGAGAGTTTAAGGAGCAGATGACACAAAACACAAGCTAATGGACCCACAAACTTAACTGAATAATAGTAAATTGGACGCCACGATTTACTACAAACTGTTTCACACCGATTCTTAAACTACCGACATGTTGATCTGCTGACCTGTAGGGGCTGAGGATGTTGAGCGGGGGAGGTTTGTCACAGCGGCGGTACATCTCCACCACGGGGTTGGGGATGGAGGTCCTCGACACCACCTGCTGGTCCTGGATGGTGCTGCTCTTGAAGGCCTTCCTCATGTTGATGTCCTGCAGGGAGACTGGAAGGAGGCAAAAAAACATGCAGAACGGAGAAAGATTCAGTTAACAGTCGAGTAACTTAGAGGCCGAAGAAACGGCTGTTTTAACTCTTCAAGGGTCGGCTCGGCAGCTAAATTTATGGACTCAGCGTACTCGACTGTGTTTTCCTTTGACTTCTTTCCAAATTAGATTTTAACAATTTAGTAGATGGAGTAACACCGAACAGGATGCCACCGTGGATGCAGTCCCAGAAACTTAATGTCACACCTCTATGCGTTTAAAGGCATTCTGGGAATGTAGGAAGTTGCTTAAAGGAGTACAAGTACAGGAGATCAAATACTACAAGTTGAAAGGTTTTATGCGCTTTTAAGTACCTATAATAATAATAATAATACACAACCCACATGCATATAGACGAATACATTATTAAAAAGACACTGTATGCACTCTGACATTAACACATACACACGCACACACACAGAAGGTGATAATAGGACAGCAGGGACAGATTAGTCTTAGAGCTTGTTGCACCAGCTTAACAAGGATCTTTCACACGCACACACACACACACACTGCAGCAGCAAGAGAGGTGTGTGTTCACTGTGTGTGTGTGGAAGCACAGGAGCAAAAACAGTGTGTGTTAAAATGCTTTGTGTGTTCTGCAGCGTGTAGGACTGCAGCATAATTAACGTGTCTTCATATAACAGAAGCCAGTATTGACACGGAGAGGAAAGAGAGTGAGGGACAGACAACACTTATGTGTCAATCCCTTAACCCCCCCCAAGAGGAGATTTAACACTACAATACTGTAATGCTATCCAGGATCTAGCAGATGGTTAACCAACCACACACACACACACACACACTCGATCCGCTCTGTTTATAATCAGGTTAAACTGTGTCAATATGACATATGTTCCTACCACTGATTTACTTGACTTCTGCACTGTGTGTGTGTGTATGTGTATGTGTGTGTGTGTGTGTGTGTGTGTGTGTGGTGTTGTCAGAAAGAAGGCGTGTGAGAGGTTCAACCTCGGACAGCGAATTCCTCAAAAACGAAATGGCGATTGGCCGTTTGATCTGCGTGTGTGTGCATTCTTGTACATCTATCTTTGTGAGGACCAATTACAGTTTCTTTTGGCCGGTCCTCACTTATTCAAAGGCATGTTTGAGGGTTCAGACTTGGTTTTAGAATTAGGTTTAGGTTTAAGGGTTGGGGGTGTTAGGGAATGCATTAAGTCAGCGAGTGTCCTCACAAAGACAGAAGTACAGGGATGTGTGTGTGTGTGTGCAGACTCTGCAGTCAGCACACACACACACACACACACACACACACACACACACACACACACACACACACACACACACACACACACTTGCGTCTGCTCTGTTTGATCATTCCTCCCTAAGCTTCTGTCCCCGTGGCAAAATGAATAATCCACAAAACTAGCAGCTAATGCAACTTTCATTCAGACACATCTTCAAAGAGACCTCAAGCTGCTTCTTCCTCTCTTTCTTTGGTAACACACACACACACACACACCGTCTCTCCATCACCTCTATCTCCTCCGTCCTCATCGCTCTGACTTTAACGCTCATCTTTCCTCTCTGCACATTCACATGCACACACACATGTTTTCATTGCTGCTAATCACCAGATTAACGTATTAAACAGACGGATTTGCAGCGGGCCTGAATGAACCTGCACTACGATGGTTTAATAAGAAGTTAATATTCAGTCTGGGATGTGCAGCATCCTGCAGGACACACAGGAGGTGTTTCAGATGAATGAACAATACTATTACGGAGAACTAGAGTTACAGTTAAGGGTCTGACGCATCGTCCCTTTCCCATGACCAGAGTGTGAGAATGGGATTCACAGAAGTCATGGAGTGCAACCTCTCCTTTGTGCTGCTGCACATTCACACTCAACTCAACGATTTGCATTTCAGAGCAGCGGAGATTAAATTCAACAACCAATGAGATAAGCAAGTAGAATATATAGAATATAGGTCAAGCACATTTTGTAGGTTCCTTTTTTTTTTTTTTTATTTTTTTTTTTTACATCTTAACAATAACACATAATAGTAACGCTTTTTAATTTGGGATTTTAAACATAAAAGCAATTTATTTCTTTGTAGAATGGACAGAAGGCACATGTTTCACTGGTGATACTTCCTCCCTTCTTTCATTCTCACTCCCTTCCTTCCTTGCTCCTTTC